TTTTAAATAGCCTAATAACAACTCTTGAAGTAGACAATAAACCTTTTCTTTTAATATTACATCATTTAATAATGATTTAAAGGCTTCTGAAAATATGCTAATATCTTTATGATTTAATTTAAAATTTCTTTTTAGATATAATTTTTGTCATAATTCTTGTAATTTATTTTGTTTACGTGGCTCCTCAAGATATTCTTGCTCTAAGGTTTGAATTAACAAATTATATTTTTCTCCATCTGCAAGTGATTGTTTATCCTCTTCTTGTCGCATTGAACATTCAATTAAATCATAAAATAAATTATTATACTGATTTTTTCTTGTATCTATTAGTTGATTTTTATTTTGGTCTTCATCTAATAATGTTTGATTAAAATTATTAATTGCTATAGCTAAATCACTATCATTTGATAAATCTTGAACATGTTCTCTTCGATAGTATGTATTAACCAATCTTAAATATCTTTTATAATTTTCTATTTTTTTTTCTCTTAAAATAAGATCTAAACGTCCTTATCGTTTTTGTTGTAATATTGCAATATCTTTGTTAATTAATAAATTTTTATTTTTTAATTCTCGAATTCTATTATCTATTCTTGCTTTATCTTGTAATATTATATCCGAATCAATTTTTGATATCTCTTCTACCAACTCATCATAGTATTTGTTTGACAGTTTTTTTAAAGTTTCATCTCTTAAAATATTTAATTCAATACGTTGAGATTTAAGTAAATTTTTGCTTTGTTGTATCTCTCTATACCAATATCTATTAACTTCTAATAATTGAACCTTTTATTCATTTGAAATATATCTTCTTATACGTTGATAATCATTAGTTCCAGGTTGATCTTTTTCTAATTCTCAAATTCGCTCTTCTCGTATTTCATGAAGATTTTGTTTATTATCTTCCACAAAATCTGATTCATTAATTTTTCTAATCCATTCATTTTTTAGTTTTTTTAAATCTGTTTCATTACGTATTTGTTCTACAAATTCATTATATTTTGATTATATAATAATAAAGATAAACGTTCTTTATGTATATTATTAAGTTGTTCTTTTAAATTATTTGGTAGTATTGCATCAATAGTAATTTGTTGATGCCAATATTGAAGATCTCTAAGTTGTTCTATATTAGTTTCAGCATTGATTTTTTCTCTTAGATTGTTATATCTTTGAACTATTCTTTTTTGTTCAATTCATTTTTTTTGTAAATCATCTTTTTGAGTTGTAGTTAATGTTAAAAAATTTTCTATTTCATTATCAATTTGACCTTTTGTTTTTAATAAATTTAAATCAAAAGTATTTTTTATCTTTTCTTTAAGTTTTTCATAGTCACGATTTTTTGTTTGTGAATTAAGTTTTGCAATATTTATTAACAAATAATTATAATATTCACTATTAGGATCTTTAAAAAGTTTTGGTTTATATATATATTTTTGATAACAACACTCTCTAAATAAAGAAGAATTTGTTTTACACTTGCAATCCATTTTATTAAATAATATAATGTTTTTAAATCTGGTTAAATAAATAAAATAAAATACAATAATATAAAAAAAGAAAAAGAGGTATTTATATACTAAAATTTTTGCATTAATATAAACAAATTATCTAATGTATCACCTCCAGAAAAATCAGACTTCCATGCCTCTTCAATATAACTAGAATTAAAAAATACTGGAATACCACAATTTTCTTCTGTCATGTTAAAATTTTCACCCAATTCAATAGCTTGACGTCAACCTTCTTTTTCAAATTTAAATTTATATATCTAATCAAAATAATCAACAAAAATAACAAATGCATAATTTCTTTTATCAAATAAAATAGTATTATTTTCTTCATTTTCTAACTTACAAACATTTAACTTATTTAAATTTAAACATAAAATCGCTTCATGTTCTTGAAATTCACAACCATCACAGGGAATTTCAATTTCTGTGGCTAATACTGGATTAATATATTCTCTAAATTGTATATCATTTATATTAGCAGCATCAATAATAATATCACCAATAGCCATATCTTTATCTTTTGCAGCATCTTTAAGACATATTTCAACAATAA